GTCTGGACACCATAGGCATTTTCCTGACTCTGTTACGGATACATGTTGTAACCGATATCCTAAAGGGAGGGCTTTATAGTACATACGCCATAATATATCTTTTTTCTTGTTGTTGGTTGCTTTTGTAAAAAGCCAATCCATTTTGGTATTAGTTAAAAGTATAGTGTTTGTTGGAGCAACTGTTCTTTTTCTTAAGATTCCCATTATATTTTTTACTGTGAAGTCTGTATTTGTCATTATCCTTGAAAAATGGGCTGTCTATAGCAAGTTCATCTCTTGTTGTGAGTTCTGCTTCTGAGAAGGTGAGTGTCCTCCATTTCGTCATCTGTACTATGTGAAATATCTCTTATTTCTTGTTTATCAGGTATTTTTATGCTTGTTTCTTCCTCTTTTGGTTCCTCTTTCTCTTCAGTTCTTGAAAAACTCCCTGCTCCTTGGGCTGTTTTATTAAGGTAGTCTTTGTTTCTTGCTTTGGATCTTTCTTTGAACTCTCGGTAGTGTTGTCTTAATGCAACCGACTCTTTGAATTGGAGGCATTCTTTTTTTATATGCCCTGACTTTAGGAGCTGCCTTCCATTCGGTTGTGATTTTATTGTCTCTGAGATGAGTAAAGTGAGGGATTCGCTTTTCTAGATCCTCATCTTCTGTTGTATCAAAAATAACAATCCATTGGTCAGTTAAATATAGCATTCCCTCCATTACCAATGGTTTGATTGAGGCTATTTTGCCAAAATTTTGAAATGCATCTTTGATTAGCATTGTTATCTCTTCTTTTCCTCCTAATGGGACATTTCTAAGTTTAACTGGAAGAAAAGACTTGCGTAAGTCTGTTGAAATATAACCGAAGTATGATTTGTTGAGGATGTTGATACCCTTGGTCGCATGGTGGCTAAGAGTATTCTTATTAGAAAAGATAATTTTTAAGTGTGTGTGGCTACCCTTTTTGAAATATTGCTTTGCTGCTATGACATCTTGCTTGACACTTTCGTAAAGTGAGATCATTATTTCATTGAAAGAGCTTTGAATATCTTGTATTTCAATGATTAATGCATTCTCGTTCTTGGTTCTTATTTGTTC